CAACATAAAAGAAAATAGACTGATTTGATACTTTTTTAAAAGCATAAAGGGAAGAAGGCTTGCATTCACTTAAAAGAATTAATACCCTAGACTGCTGACTGATTGAACGTCTGAAGTGTAATTCTAAAATGGAAATGTTAGTAGAGTATCCCTTTATTGCCAAGGGTCTTTAGGAAGAGTTGGTTTGGATGTTTTCCCTTTTTCATACTGACACTGGTGCTTTTATCAATTTAAACACACTAACATTAAACCACTAAAAGGCATGTAGGTTTCAATAAAACTAATTTTTTATATCTTCAGCCCATATAACCAAATGAGCTGCTTTAACTTTTTTTAAGCAGAAAAGATAATAAAGCTAAATGAAAAGTCCCAGAGCTTAGTTTTAAGACTAAATGGTATTTTAGATGAAGCAGTTAAGGAAAGTACAGTTTGCAACTCCGAGATAAAGATAATGGCTTAAATCTATCTTTATATTATGAGTATTCTTCTCGGAGCTGCAAAATTGATAAACACACTTTCAGTTCTCACTGGCATGAGCTGCTACAAGCTGAGACCAGAGATGCTGTTATTGAAAGAGCATTTGATGAATATTGGGAATTGGAGCATCTTTCCCAACTATACCACTGGCATGCCGATAGGCTGTGGACAAATTGCTTTTGTACTTCTGCTTTCCAATCTGCCAATCAAAGATAATAGCATACACTTCTAATGCAAGATCTGGTGGTCCCTAAATAAGATATATTGTAAGCATGCCTATCATTTTGCCTGTTCAGTTGGTTTCTTGAAATAGCTGATGTTAAGATGAGAGAAAATTAAGAACAGGAAGTTGTACCAGACAGAAATAAGTTTATTTGAATGTCTTGTAAAGAAGAAAGAAAAGTACTCACATAACTAGAGAATGAAAAAAAATAGTGATTAAAGCAGTAAAGCAAAGTGTGCACACCTAATAGACCACAAACATTGTGAAAAACACACAGAGCAGCAACAAAGACAGAATTATTAAGACATTTAAAAAGCACCAGCTAGGGCCAGGAAGAACACTGACATAAAAGGTGTGCATTTATGTACGTACTTGCACATGTATGTATGTGCATGCATACTCACAGTCATGCAGAAAGAGAAAGAAAAATATCTAACAGCCTTTAGGTTGGAAAGAAACTTCAGGAGTCAGATTCTCTTGGTGGTACTTCATTGCTTCACTCATCCAATAGAATGTAATTCACAAATTAATTAGGGCTGTGGAAAGGGAAGATTAAGACTGATTCTATCTTGCACATATAAAGGGTACTGCTTTGTCTAAAATTCACTGCAGTATGTAATTATAAATACATATAATTAGGTGACTTCGATCTCACAAAATGACTGCAATGCTGCTTTCTGCATGACTTGGCTATGCAACCAAAATATGCAATGTAAATCAGAAATTAATTACCCTGAGGATTCAGAAACTATTCTAAGAGTGAATTTGGCTCGTTATTCCAGCAGAATTACTGCTCTTTCTATTGAACAAGGAATTCAAAAACTAACAAAGTGTTTTTTCTCCCAGATCTGTATCTCAGCTGACTGTCAAATCTAGCTGCATATTTCCTTGTGGTAAAGAAATTTCTAAGGCTCTTATCAAACTAACTACCAGTAAAAATCTAAGCTAACCTTTTTTGATTCCTTTTTTACAAGTAGAGGGCACTGAGTGTCTACCTCAGCTGCATTCTCACTCAGCTGACCTCCGAGAAAGCTGTTTGACACAGTTGTCTTTCAATATGCTATTTCTCTATTCAAAAGTTATTTCTTCAAAAGCTATTTGGATGAACAGGAAGAAAGAAAAGGAAGAGGATAAAGGTACAGAGACATGGAAAGCAAATTACACAACCTACTCCTTTTGGAAAAAAGTATCACCTGCATATGCTCAAGTGAGCTCAAAAACCTCCATGACATAGAACTTCCATAGAAGTGACTGATAAATCAGAGCAGAAATTTTAATCCGTTCAGTATAACAGGTAAATGCTAACTTATTCTCTGACCAATGGAGGGACAACTTTTTTAAATACCTCAGCTGCTCACACTTGAATTTCATCCAGACAAACTACCTCGTGGGATTGTGAATCCATGGTGTATATTGAATGCAATTAACTTCCCAGTTTAACATATTGCTACCCAGAAATAGCAGCAAACACAGCATGACTTAGGCATCAATTTTTTAAACATACTAAAGAGATACTTTCCTTATTTTGTAACTTCAACTATAAATCACAGGAAAACAAATTTGTAGTGTCTCTTTGTCTTATTCCTCTTTGACAAGTGCTTTAGATAGAGTGGTGAAAAAATCAAAACTGGAGACAAATATATATTTTCTCTGGCACCAGGAAGACATATTCCACACAGTTAATACTCTCTGCTAAAAGGAAAACTTTTATGACATTTTACAGAAGGAAAATAACTCCCCTTTGGGACATGCAAGCTTGTCCTTGAGGTAAAAAACACAAATAGAGATGAAGAACCCCTTCTTTATCCACTTCTAAGTTTCAGACCCTGGACTTCCTTTTCTTCTCAGCTGTGTGTACCTCTCAAGTCACCACAGAATTCAATGGCAGCTTTCTTCGCTGAAAAAATTTGCATTCTCCTCAAAAATTTTAGGTCTATGGCTGCAAGAATCTCTTGTCGTACCACTTGACATTTTTTATGGCAGAATGTTACCCATAAAGAAACCTAAATTAAGTGCAAATTTCGGTATTTAAAGAGGCTAGATTTTCAGAAGAGCCAAAAGGTTGCATGCATAAACTGAGGCCAGTTTTGCAAGTGCTCAGAATCTCTGTGTCATTTGTGGACCAGACATCAATTCTGCATTATCAGGACATTCTGAAGAACCACCAAACCTCCTACTAAATAATTATATCCAATGCTTCTGAACAAAGGGCAAATTAGAAGCTGAACTAATAATTTATAGAGCTGTGATACAGTTTAGTCTTACATTTGCTTAAGTTTCACATTTTATCTCCCTAAGTGGAATCAATGACTTCTTCAAATTCCTTAGTCAGAGAATGCAGAATACCAGAAGTAGAAATGTATTATGCTTTATCCAGAGTGCATGAAAAAGACAGCATCTTATTATGTTTTATGGAACAGGCACAGCAAACAAGAAGTAGCTAGCATTTAATGAACATGGTGCTTAGTTTTAGAAAATTTATCTGTGTTAGTTCTTTCACCTCTGAAAAACTCAGACTGCATTTAAAGCACATCTCTTACAGGTAACAACATACAATTATAACTGAACTGAAATCTTATGTTTAGTGCATTGGCATGAATACTGCACAATTACTGCAATTACACTCAGGCTTGTACTCTACAAAATATCCTCAAAGATCACAATGTGGTATCCTTTAGTCAACTAAACACAGCTTTACTGTGAGAGTGATCACAGATCTCAAACTTGTACAAATAGACTACTTATTGTTTAAACACACCTGCTGTAGCTGTCATATTCCCACTGCTCTTATTTTAACCACACATTGATTATTCATCATAAAACCTCTTGCAATAGCTTAAAAAAATTGTTGTATAATAATAGATGGGATTGGATAATGAACTGAATCCAAGAAGTGTTTAAGTTCTTCCTCATTGAAAGGGCATTTCTATTAAAAGGAAAGCACCTTACTTGCCAAATTCAAAACAAATCCTAGGCATAGGTGCCTCATCTGTTCCAATGGCACTCATTACTATTCCTGTCCTAGATGCAAAGATATGCCTCTGAACTCTTGTGATGATAAATTACAGGGAGAAAGAAAATAAACAGTTTTATAAAGAGTTTCCTGGCTCACAGCCAGTCAGTAAGTGTATGGTGAAACCATCCCATCTCTGTCTATACTGATAGGGAAAAAAAACCCTGATGAACAACAGCATTGTATTGAGATGCAATTGCAGATGGGCATTGTGTGACAGCACTCCGAAGTGTCCCATGGACATTTATTGCCTTTAGAAGAACAGTGAGTTTCAAAGCAGCTTAAACAAAAAATGGTGAAATTTTTATCAGCCTGGGTGAGGAGGGAAGAAGGAGAGAAGGGTATTGGCATTTCGGTCCCTTGCTGCTTTGTTGGAGTATGGTAATTTCAGGAAATCAGGCAACTTTCTTGTCCTGCTACAATGAAAATGGGAAAAGAGGTTTCCATGTCTCTTTCCATGTTATGTTGTTATTTTAATTTTCTTACATGCCTCTTGTCACTCTGGGTGAAAGATGAAGCACCTGCTCCCTCTCTTTACTCATACATGAAGAGCAGAAGAGAGCGGTCAGCTCTTATGAATGACTGTTCCATGGGGAGGAAAGGGCAGCAATCTCAAGAGCTCATCTGCCTCCGACTCATCACATTTGAAATTCCCAAGGAATTTTACCTGTGCATCTCAGAGATAAAACAAGGGGTCCTCCAAAATTAAACTGTGGAAGGGCAGAGGGAACATTGCCTCCCTTGCCTTTCTCATGAAAAGAGATGGATAACTCCATATGGCTTCTTTTAAATTTAGTGTACTGGTTACTCTGCAAAGTCTGCCTTTGATTACAAGGGAACATTTTGCAGAAGGAGGTATTGCTTGCCATTTGTAATGTTGGTAGGATAAGATTTCCCCTCTCCATTTCACCTTTGAAAGGAGAGAGAAAGGAGATGAACATCAAATCTTAGTGTGCCAAGACTTGAAAATATATTTACATGCCAAAGTGGAACTCTTGCTTTGAACACCAGCCACAACAGCCTTCTGCACTTTGGGTAGTTCATTAACAGAAATCAATACAAGCTGCCTTTTAAGAAAGCTAACACTTGTTCATCGACACACTTTGTAATTCCTTTTAGCAGATGCATCAATGCTTACAAATGTGCAGTAAATTATGGCAAAACTGCAGAATGTCAAGGCTACTGAAAATAGTTTCATTTCAGTGCAAACTTGAAAGATTAACCTAAATACAATGAGAAAAAGAGTAATTACTAAGGAACACAGGAAAAAAGATGTGTTGTCTTTACCTGAAGGCCCTTCTTCTCTATCTTTTTCTGGAGTATTTGAAGGCACTTGGTGAAATCTGTGAGGTCCTGATCCATGGTCTCAATTAACTCACAGCCCTAGTGAAGAAGAAACAAAACAGAGAGAGAGAAAAAAAAGTCAGTAATTTTTCAATTTTGAGAACTAATGATCTCTTTGGTGAAATTTACTGCAGACAACCACTCAGCGTCTCTGCATGGAGATGCAGGATTAAGTAAAAGACCCTTACCCTTTGTAGGTCTCAGCTGAACTAGTTACTATGAACCAGCAGTTTGATAGGTATATACTCAGTTTGAGTATATACTCAAAGCCATTTGAGTACATCTGTGAGTTTGGATAAGCACATTTTACAGTGGTCTGCTGGATGGACAAATTCTGGTGTAGTGAGCCCTGGGTGATTGGCAACTTTCAGGAAAATGACTGTTCTCTCTGGTGCTGCACTTATTGTGTCTCTGCTACAAACAGTCAAACCTGTATAAATGTGAGCACACAAAAGTATTCAAGCACCCCAGAAATGCTGCACTTGTACGGCAGTCAATTTGTAGTGGTTCAACAACAATTTTCTTGCACTGGGGTATTATGGCTGAGAACATGTTAGAGAAGAGCAGGAGTTCAGATTTCTTAACTGAGAGCTAAAGCAATTTCTAAGCCTCTGATAAAAAGCTGAGTAAGGAAAAGTGAAGTGTATCTACTGCATAAAGTTACTATTCAAAGAGGTTTAGAGAATAAAAAATACCCAATACAGCACTGTGAATTAAAATAAGAATCATACACATTGGATTTAGAAGTTCCCTCTCCTACCACTTCAAGGTCCCCTTAAAAGCCTCCTAGCTTTGTCTTACTTGACAGATTTTATGTTTCTGCCATACACAATAACAACTGATAAGAGAAAAGCATTGAGAATACAGAATCTTTGTACATGTGCCTCTGTATATAAAGTACATTACTCTGTTACATCAGAAAAAACACAAATAACAAAGCCAACATAAAAATGTTAAAGTTGCCTTTACCTTGGTGATAAAAATAAAGGTAGAGAAGACAAAATTTCCAGGATTAGTGAAGGCATGGAGTTTAGTGAATTGCATGCAACAAAGTAACAAGCCTCCAACAGGAAGACATACACTACCACTGAAATGCTTTCCCACACAGCCAGAATGCATATAAAACCAAATAAAGTCATCACACAGTAGGGGATTTGGCTAAAGTAGAAGAGAAAAACAAGAAGATAATAACAGGTTTTCTATTACACTTCTCTCTTCAAAAACTTCTGAAAGAAAACTGGTCAAAAGTAGCAGCCTTTCTGTGACCTGATATTGCTCTAAATAGTTTTTCAAGTAGTAATAACAGGCTTGCAAAGATGAAACATCATGTAGCTGCAACAACACATGTAATCAGAGACCTCCATTGAAGAAGTGATGCTACTTCCCCTGCAAAATGGTGAGGGAAAAGGTAGCTGGATTCTGCACTCAGCGCTAAGCACAAAACTCTTTGAAGAGCTCCCGTATCTCCACTCTTCTCTAGAAAAGACCAAAAACGTAAAATTGGCAGGAGGAGACGTGACCCAGGCCATCTGGTGCCTGTAATGAACATGTGAGTTTGGCAACACCAGCCAGAGACACCCAGGGAGCCCAGGAAAGGCATAGGGTTGTTCAGTCTCACTCAGGAAAGCTCATTCACATCTGAAAACTACTGAAGGGACCTTGTTTATCAAAGCCACTCGAAATGAAAAGGTGTCTCATTCACTATGGATGGGGTGCTCTCAGACAGTCTTCATATCAGCACTGATTGTGGGAAGAGAGACCAAGCTGTGAGAAACCATGAGTATTTCAGGTTTCAGTATTTCTCAGACAGCCTCTGAGCAGCTTGAGAACATGACAGATGAAGACTAAATCAGTGGCAGGGACAGCTACTGCTGAGTATGGGAGAAGACACAGCCTCAGTCACCAGCTCTTAAAATTGCAGCAGAGAAGTCAAGTCTTTTATCTTTTGCCAGGGCCATTCCTCGGCTTCACAGCATTGGCAGAAGTAAGCAGTTTATAGATACCAATTTATGAATGAAAAATTCAATCCCCACCCTGACTCTGAAAAATACTCCTTCCTGCAGTCATTAACAAGCATGATCTTGAACAGGCAGATTTTTCAGCAGAAGGTAAACTGCAATTCTATCAAGGTGTCTGTTTTTCTATTTGTTTTTTTCTGTTTTTTTTCTGTTTTTTTTTTTTTTTTTTTTTTTTTTTTTTTTTTTTTTTTTTTTTTTTTTTTTTTTTTTTTTCTTTTTTTTTTTTTTTTTTTATTTTAAATAATGGTTTACAACACCTTAAATTATGATTTATTATTTTATGCCACTACTAGAAACATTTCTCTTGAGTTTAATTATTTTCTACCTTCTCAGGATGTTCTTTGACAAAAAGTTATTCTAGAGGAACTGCAAGGTACTTCCAAGGCAAGCTAGTATTAGTGATTGGAGGGCACTGAAGGTCATTCAGCTCTGGGAGAAAGCTGTGATGCACCATGCATAGACAACGTATGTTCAGCCCAGCTACTGTCTTCTGTCCATATTCACATAAAAGACCTCAAACACATATCACTGGAATGCAGAGTAAATATGTGAATGGGATGTCAAATACATGTTCATTAAAGGCAGATTACTGTACCTATGAGTACAGTAAGAGGGTGCTGGGGCTTATAAGTGCCTGCAACTGTTTACTCACTGCCCCTTTCTTTAATGCTTTACACAAGTACTGCTCTAGATCATCATATCAAAAAGTGTTGATAGAGTGCTACCATTAAAACCAGCACTTTCTTCAAATTAAACTATAATTTCTCATTCTCTTTCCACATCAAACAGATAACCACTTGTAGAATTGGCAGAGATTTTAGTATTGCTCCTTTTGCCACAGTGTCAAAGAGACTGGCATGGTCAGATTAAACAGGGGGAGGGGACAAGCAGCAGAACTGGATACTGCATCCTCCTCTTTACAGTCTTGCTGAAATTAATGTCTGTGCAGTTCATGTTCGCTGATGGTATAACAGCCTCAGATAAATCTGTTGCTCCTGACATATCAACTCCAATATTCTATGCCACAGAATTGGATGACAATTGTAATGCAGTTCCTTTCAACCTTCACTGCATTATTCTGGAATGACAAAAATCTTCAAGACAGAGCTACCCAATGCAGTCAGAGTTTAATGAAAGGACAGTGTAACAATGCAAGATAGGCAATAACACATGCAGTTTTATAGATACCTGCTCAACTTAATAACATTAACCTTTGGTAAGAAAGTGTAAAAGCCAAACAAATTTAACATTAGGAAAGGTTAGAAAAATCAATAGCACACAGCAGGAAAGAAAACAATAGATTTCATCTGATGACGATACAGCTTTGGTGAATGATGGGATGGGGCACAGAGTATGAGGCTTTCACTGCTCTGTCTTATAGCATCTCTGGGAGGCACTTTGCTAAAGAAGGAGGAGTGTCAGACACACTCAATAGGATTGTTGAACCCTATGTTTCAGACAGACACTGAATTCAGACAGGCACTGAAATGTCAATCTGAACATCTTGGCATTTCTCCATTTTTAGAAATGTTACACATCACAGGACATTGTGTGTTTGTAGAAAGCAGTGTATAGTTGCCCATTCCCCCATGTTCTTCTTAATCTTTTATTAAGAGAATGTAAGGTTTTTTCTTTCTGTAACCTTTCTGAGTATGAGAACATAATTAGAACAGAATACATAAAATATCCTAACATGTACTCTATCTCCCAGGTCTTCCTATGGCAAACCATACAAGACTATCTTTTGAAGCCTGTATCTGGCTGTGCTCAGTGGGTGCACCAGTGACATTCAGTTCAGTCTTTTAACAATACCTGAGCACAGAGGCTCAACTTTGAGTTATCAATCTCAAACAGATGTACTTATGTATAGTGTTAATGCCACATATCCTCAAGCAAAAAGAGGAGAAAGGAGACAGTCTGTAGATTTTCTCAAAATCACAGCACTGACAAATAAATTTTAAGGAACATAAATTAAAAGCTATCTCCAAACATTCACATTCTCCTAGACTGCACAAACAGTATTGTACCCACTTTATCCTAATATTTCACTGACCAACTGAAGCTATAGATTCTCAGATTTCATTTGCAAGGGACTTTTCAAAGTCATTTGGTCCAATCTCTTTCTAAGAGTGCATTAGATTTGCTCAGGTTTCTCAAGGCCCTTTCCAGTCCAGGTTAAGTTGGGAAGGGAGTCACATCTACTAGGATGGAGATGCCACTTCCCTGGGGAACCTCTTCCTGGGCTCGACCATTCTTGTGAAATTTTCTTTCCCAGTGTCAAACTTATCTCTTGTATTGCAAATTGTGCTTGCTGCTTCTTCTCCTATCTCAATTTAAGGAAGAATCTCTTTCTGTTTTCTCTCTGCCCTTCCATTAAGACAGCAATATGATCTGCTGCTCACCTTTTCTTCTGGAGGTTTGAACAAGACAGTTCACATTAGCCTTTTCTCATGTCATATGTTCTAGACTTCCCTAAAATTTATGTCCCTCACTTGTACTGTATTGGCAAGCAGTATCTCCACTTTGGAGAGCCTGAAGAGGTCATTTAAGACCAAGGAGACAGAGAGTTCCTAGATCTCTCTTCCTTTTAAAGTAAACTTCTGGACACTCAATTTTGCCTCTCTGGTATCCTCTTCCTCTTTAGCCCACTCAGAGAGTAACTCCAGCCTTCACACTCCTCATACACTAGCAGCAGACACCTAAATTTTTTGGCCTCCCCAGCATTTTCATAAACAAATGTGAAGCAGACAAGCTTCAGACATGCTGAGTTGGACTCAACAACTCTAGGAAAAAGCATACATGGATTGAAGCAAAGTACTGCTCTATGTACAGAAAGAGGAGCAGAAATGGACTGCAGGATCTGATTGTGGGTCTTGGACTAGGCCTAGTAAAGAAGATAAAACATATGGATGCAGAAGCCTACAAGTTCAACAGATGACAGACATTATGTTCTACCACCTCATCTGTAATAGGAGTGTGGTCTTTGAGGCCAGAGCATTCAATCAGCATCAAAAAGAAAAA